GAGAAATCTGACAAGTGGTAGGAAAGTTGTAAGAGGTGCTGTAGCGGGAAAGGAAACGGGCGGGGCTGGCGTTTTGAGGCCGTCTTTCTACCCATCCCGATTCTGTACCCTGTTCACTTCTGACCCGACGAAGGATCAACAAAGTGATAAGAGGCTATCACTTCTACGTTTACGGTGATAGAACAATGTCAGCCCCACGGCTCCACCCTGATGTGCCCACCCAGCCCTGATCGGCTTCTTGAAGAAGGTAATACCGAATCCAGTCAGCTCCGTAAGACCTACAATATCCTTGGGTTTTGTCATCAAGGTATCGCGCTGTTGAAAATCTTTGCAAAACACGACCCATCCCCTCACCTCATATACGCTCCTCCCTTACCATCCGATGATCGACTCTTTTCGAGGTAGTTTTTCGTGGTAGTGCTGTAAGAGAATAGCTTGATTCATGATAATCCGTTCCAGGTAAGCATATGGGTAAATCGAGTGCTTGATATGGGTGCACCGAATTTGGTGCACGAGTTCCGCGACTTACGCAGATGGATGCCAGAAGGGATGACCGCAAAGGCTTTTTCGGAAAATCGCCCACTTAATAGGTACAGGTTTTTCACTTTATCGCCAATAATCAATCCATTACCATAAATCGAATCGTGAATCATATAACCTAGTTAAAAAACAGCTCATCATCATCGAAGGCTCGGTCCTCATCTCCGAGGACGGTCCTTAGCATACGCGAGGCGGATGGGTGCCGTAGTACCCTTTTTCACGCTTCAAAGTGCCCGGGAACGGGGTCAAAGGGTAGGGAAAACGCCTGGGTGCTGTCGCCCAACTTTGAGTGGGCCATCCTCAAGATGCAGCATTTGCGTCGATATTGGTATCCCGCAGACAGCAGCAGTCTGAGGTAGAAAAGAACAAGTAATTGGAGGGCCCTGGCAAGAAGTAGCGTGTTTGGCTATTTCTAGGCGTGTGATTAGCGGCGCAGCTACGCGGGCGGACTTTGGAGACGGCACACTCCAGCTCCTTTCCCATGCACTTTTGATCGGATAAAGTGGCGTGCTGCTGCAGCTACGGATCCATTCTTCCCACACATGACAAAGATCGGGATCCACTAAAGTAAACCATTGTCTTCAATGGGTACGTCTCAACAGCAGTCAAGAAGCAACGAATAGCCTAATCGTGATATCCATTTGTTCCATGCATGAAATGGAAACCTTCAGAATGAGAAGAGTTTGATGGCTGTTCAAGTAGAACGGGCCGGAGTACCATCGGATCTGATTCTCATTCCATCTGATTGTTTCCCTAGATCGCATGCTCTGGACGATGCCTACTAAGCCTTTGAGAAGCAGTTCAGGACAATGGAAAAACTACGTCTCGGCTACGTCCTCGGCTTCAGCAGCTGGCCAAAACGGCTATCCTACTGTATATAATCCGCTATGCGTGTATGTGTGTGCGTCTGTCTATGTGTCACGAAATTCATAGTACCCGTCGCAGTGAGCGTGGAACCTCGGAAGGGGAGGGTCATCAAATTCGTAACGCAGGTTACAGCAACAGTGGGACCTTGGATCCGAGAGGTGATATAGGGTGTGGGACGGGAACATTATTGGCGGGTGACAGAAAGTGATAACAGTTGATAAGATCCGATAAGGGCCTCGGAAGGGGAGGGTCATCAAATTCGTAACGCAGGTTACAGCAACAGTGGGACCTTCGCCAAGCCATGTCACGGAAGGAGAAGCGCCCGGCGACAGCTGGGCTATCCGACTGGCACTTATGAACACTTGCTCGCGATGCTCCGATAAGCTCGTTAGTTGGCTCTCTAGTTTCCCACTAGCTGCGGATCGGCAAAGCTACCAGCTGCTGCAGAGCAGATAGGAGGAGCTTGAAGACTAAGGTTGTGAAAGAACATAGACCAGAGGAGGAATTCTGGGGCAACGTACTGACAGACTCATTCATCCATTCCGGGGCTGCATCCGGGCGGGGGAGAAGTGATCATGCGAAGCGTTTTCTTGCTCGTAGAGGCGAATATTCATTCACGGCAGTAGCTCCGAATCGCCTGAAGAGGTAGGTGGGAGGGTGAACCATAATTTTCGAAATAATTGGGAGTTCGTACAACTCCGTACAGGGTGAAACAGTTCTACTCTTCACTGAAGGCTTATAAAGAAAAAGCGGAAAGAGCTGTACAATGCTCAACGGAGGGCTTTTGGAGACATTTCAACGCACACAGTTTGGCGCGAAGTCGACCTTCGTTGTCAAAGATTTTCCGCCCCATAGTCGTAACGACTGGTGAGAAGGAGCTGGCGCCTCCTAAAGTGTAAGTGTGCAGGAGCGGCTCCATCCAGCCCTCCGTAAGCACCATAATATGGAAGAGTAAGCTAATGTCTACAGGTATGTCGACGTGCCTTGTCAAGATTTTCGTCGTGTTATTCTTAAATGGCCCGGAATCGATAACGACTATATCCACGCAAATTATGTGAGCACACCCAGCAAAGATCATCATTTCATTTGTACTCAGGTATCCCATGACCTCATACTATTTACATTTTTCATGATTTTATAACATCAAGTTAGCGCAGAGTAGTCAAAGTGTAAGTTCGACACAGAGCTCAGGAGTGGAGGTCGCGCAGAAAATGTGGACCCGATGGTCCGAAGGTGGACCTCGAGCAGGCGGCCACGGTAGGCTACCCGCCATCCAAAAAGCCACGGTTTGAGTCAATGCATGATTGCCGTGCCCTAGAAGACCTCCATTCTTCCGAATGGTTAGCGACTGCCTGAAATTTTACCATCACTTACCCTCTACTGCCCCACCTTTCAAAATTGGGCCAGATTCTGATGGGAATTTTCCACATGG